ACACATTAAATTTTTACATTATTTTTTTATGTTTGAGGTATATTTTCTAATTTGAGTTCTATAAAATTTTACCGAAACATAATTAAGATGATAATTTATAAATATTGCCGCACGAGTGGCTATATATGCAAGCTTAATGTGATTGTTTTCTCGATTGGTGCATATAATATGTTGCATGTCATTGCATATTGTGCACTTCAATGTTTCGTTCTACATGCGAGTTTTATTCACATTATGTTTCTCATGATGAGACAGATATTCAGAATGATAAAATTAGCTGAAAATGATATCATTATTATGAAATGTGTATGGACGCATGAAAGACGGGGATATTATGATTCAGGTTGACATATAAACTCGTTACATGTTAAGGGTTACTATATGAGTGAATATGTTATGATATGAGTGACGATGGATTTGGGGGTGACGACTCACATGCACTATGTCACTTAACTGTTATTACTGATATGATCTAACATGATATTGTCAAGTCTTACTATAATTAATACAAGAAGATCATCACTTAACCAGAGTTATTGACTTGCATTATATATGTGTAATAATAAATATATTTGATGATACAATCTTACACCGTGCTAATATTGTGATTTGTTACCTTATTGTAATTTCTATTTTTAAGGAATATCTAATCATATTTAGTTTTATGCAGGCTTTATTTTAGCATTTGTGAAGCCCTTGTGATATTTTTGTGTACTGATTTTAATTGCATGTTTTGTGGTGCTAATATTGTGATTTGTTACCTTATTGTAATTTATATTTTTAATGAATATCTAATCATATTTAGTTTTATGCAAGCTTTATTTTAGCATTTGTGAAAATATTTTTGTATACTGATTTTAATTGTATGTTTTGTCTAATCTAGTGTCATGCTTGCTCATTCATGCTACATTTATATGTTTTTAAGAAAGGGTGCACCTAAGACTAATGGAGTGAGATTATAGTATTTGTTGATATATGTATATTTTATGGTATTCAATAAGTATTTTATGTACATGATAAAAATTATATATTTTGTTGAGAATTATTAAAAAATCACGATCTTTATATTTTTAAATATATTTAGATGTAAATAATTTTGATTTATATAGATAAAAATGTGGCGATGTTCTTTATCTCTATTTTTTATATTATTATTGGTAATTTAGTCGCTCTGTGTAATAAAGTTAAAAAATATTCATAAAAATTTTGGGGTCTAAGAGACCAAATCAAGTTACAAAAATTTTCATAAAAATTAAAAAAATATAATAAATTTTATGCAAGAAATTTACTTTTTTTGCCATTTTATATCATTATTATAAATTTAAAAAATTTTAATGCATTTATTAAAAACAGTTAGTTAAGGCAATAATTGCATGCGCTTGCTTGTTTTTGGCCAGCAATGATGGTCCAGTCATTTATTTTTATTATCTTTTAATATTTCATACTCTATTTTAATATTTTTGAAGTCCAATAGAATTTATAGTTAATTTTAAAAAAAAATTAAATAATTTGTAGTAAAATATTTCATACATTTTTGCTCTAATTGACTCAACATATTTGAACATATATAAAATTATGATTGGGAAGACTCAAACATGATTGGTGGCCCTAAGGAATAATCTACATTGGTGTCCAACAAGTAGTCTTGCCTTATAATTTTATTAAAATTATAATTTTGCATGACAAATTTGTTTTATAAATTATTATATATTTTAAACTATATAGATTTTGACTTCCACAAATAGAATGAAAAATGAAATGTTATCAAAAAATATTTCCAATCAACCATGAATATTGATGAAATTTTCTCAGTTTGAAAGCTATTAGAATCAAATTCATGACTATTTAAGCTTTGACTTTAGATTTATAATGAAACTGAATATTTTGATCAGATGAACCCAACAAAATCAAGATGGTTTAATCTTAGTCAAAATAAGCTCAAATTAAACATTTAAATTATATAAAAAATTTAGTTCATTAACTCAAGGGTGAACAAAATCCCTAAAGTTTACATGCTTATTATTAAAATAAGCATCTCAACAAGATGAATCTAATAAGTTTAAGGACACTCAATTTCAAGGCCATAAAGATATTTAAAGAGTCAACACTGGGAAAAAAAAAGAGTCGCCATGGGTCACGCAATAGGGTGTTTTGAGATTTTGAATAAAAAAAATAAAATATTAGTTTCAAAAACCATAAATAGAATATTAATCTCTACACGAAGGTTTGATGACTTGCTTAAAATAATAAAGAGAATAAAGATTTGTGTTTATCCACACCTCTAACTTTGACCGCCATTACTAGCAATTATTGTTATCCATTAACTAGCTATCATTATCCGATGACCCCCATTCAACCCTCATTGCTTGACTGCTATCATTATTGCTCAATTGTTGTCACTTGACTACTATTTCTCAAATATCATTGTCCAAACAATCTTTATTAAACTAATGTCGCCCAACCATCACTGTCTTCTGCTAATTCTATCACATTCATTGGGGAGATTATGCAAGTGCTAAGTGTATTTATTTTGTAGTTCTATCTTGTCTAATCAAAAGGAAGAGCAAACATTTGTATTTTAACTAGCATAATTAATTATTGTCTTTTATATAAATTTTTTCACTTAAAAATATTTAATCTCTCATTTATTTATTTGTTCTGAATTTTTTTATCAAGCTAGGATACATAACCTTATCTTTGACACTGTAAACTTTCTAACATGCAATAATAGTTTTACTTAAAATCCCAATAGAACTTGATGCCAAAAATGAGATGAGGACATTGAAATAGGGTTGTGCATTTGACTATAACAAAAAAAAAAAAAAAGGAATTGGATAAAAATCATTTTGGATAATTCAATCCAAATTTTAAATTATTGATTTAAGCATTTGAAGTACTTAGTTTTTCATTACTGGATCAATTATTGATTCAAATTTTTTTATAAACTGCAAAACAAATTAAAGTTTTCCAGGTCCAAACCGCAAATATGAAAAAAGGAGGGTTGTGTTTGGTAGTCAGCAACCAACGTAAAATTTGTCGAAAAATCATGAGATGAATCCTTTTAATCAATGTGTAAATGCTAGGGCATCTCCTGTAAGCGACCTACTATATGACCTAAAAAAGTCGTACTTAGAGTGCAAGGCCCGCTATACGAGCGCTCGGGTGTAGTGTCAAATAAGCAATGATTCCCACATTACGGACAGATATGAGTAAAGAGTTAATCCATGAAACTAATGTTATGATAGGATCCTGAAATATAGGCACTCTCACAGGTAAATTAAGAAAATTAGTTGACATTATGATTCATAGAAACATAAATATCTTATGTATTCAAGAAACTAAATGGGTTGATAACTTTGGCTTTAAACATTGGTATTCAGGTAAAACTCATAGCAGAAATGGTGTAGGTGTAATTATAAATAAGAGTTTGAAAGATAATATTGTAAAAATTAATATAATTGGAGATATAGTTATAACCCTTAAGATTTTGGTTGATACTAAGATTTTTAATATTATAAGTGCATATGCTTCACAAGTAGGCTTAGATATAAGTTCCAAAAAAAAATCAGAATCATCTAAAAGAGTTAATATAAATGATCCTTCTTGAAGAAAGAATTTTTATTGAAGGAGATTTTAATAGACAAGTTGGTAGAGTGGTAGATGATTTTAGAAATATTCATGGTGACTACGATTTTGGAGTGATTAATGAAGAAGATAAAATTATATTAGATTTTGCTTTAGCGCATGATTTTGTTATGGCTAATATTTTATTCAAGAATTGAGATGATTATACTATTACTTATAAGAATGGATATAATAAAACACAAATTGATAATTTTCTCATGATTTTTAAAGAGATCGTCAAGAATATAAAGATTGTAAGGTCATTCCAAGTGGTCATTCCAAGTCATTCCAAGTGAGAATTTAAATACCCAACATCAATTATTAGTTCTAGATTTTAAGATAAAGAGTTGTAAAATAAAGAATACTAGGAATCATTGTCATAGAATTAGATGATGATACCTAAAAGAAACAAATAAAATTATTTTTTATGAATAAACTTCAAGTTTTCGAGATTTGGGATGTTATGAAGAAACAAATTTTATGTGAGATAAAATAACACACTACTAAATAAGTGTCAAAAGACGTACTTAGAGAATCAAAAGGATATGTTTGTATAAAAAAATAGCTGGTGGTGGAATAAAAATGTGCAAGAAAAAATTAAATATAAGAATTTATGTTATAAAAATTAATTTAAATATAAAAACTTAGAGAGCTGAGAAAATATAAAATGAATAATAGGGTTCTAAGAGAACAATTTGTGATGCTAAAAATTTTATTTTTAGAGATCTTTATAATAAATTAGATACTAAGGAGGGTGAAAAATATATGTATAAACTAGCCAAATAAAGAGAAAAGAAAAGTAAAGTATATTAAAGATAAAAAACAAAAAGTGATTTTCTTAGAAAACGATGTGCAACAAAGGTGTGTGAGTTATTTAGATAAACTTTTCAATGAATTTTTTGAAAATACGATCAATTTTAGTTATCTTAATATTACTAATAATAACAAAATATTTCATTTTTACTGTCGCATTAGTAAAACAAGAAGTTAATTATACTTTAAAGAAAATCAAGGGTGGAAAGTCTCTAGGTCCTGTTGATATTACAATTAAAGTGTGAAAATATTTAGTAGACATGGGAATTTCTTGGCTTATTAAACTCCTTAATATTATCTTAAAAACAAAAAATGTGATCAATGAGTGGAGAAAGAGTATTTTAGTTCCAACTTTTAAGAATAAAAAGGATGCACAAGAGTGTCAAATTATAAATGAATTAAATTGATAGGTCATATTAGTTTTGAATTATGATGAACAATTCTTAGTCTTATATAACAACTATTTCTACCTTAGTTTTGAAAAAAATAATGAAATATAAACTAAAAATTTAGTCCATAATTGATAAAATTATTAGGGGGTGGGTGCTGATCCCACATTTGGATAACCAGTCTGATCAACCCAAGACGCGTACGATAAAATTCTTTGCCGTCCGAGTCTCCCTTCGGACAGGAAACCTGCAATATCTATCTTAACCGTCTTCGAAATTCTCACTATATCTCTGGAAATCCCTCATCACTTCGCGGCAGATCGAAGCCCTGGATCGATATCCAGTACTTCACACCTCTAATACTTGTTTCTTTTTTCTTCTGCTCTCCTTAACCTTCAGTTTTGAACTAATCGATTAGGATTTCAACCTGATTCGAATCTCATCGGGAGTCAAGATCGGCTCGTTGATTGTCAATTACAGGTTAAGGATTTGAGTGGTGATCAGAGATTGTTATCTTTCTTTGGAGAAGAAAATCTAGATACCGGCGAACATGTTTAGTCGGCTTTTCGGAAAGCCCAAGGAGCAGACGAATGCTCTGGCGACGCTTGACAAGTTAAACGAGGTGCCTGAAATTTTTTTTTAATCTTTTTATTTTTATTTTTATTACAACGATTTATGATTTGATCTTGATTAATTGGGGTCTTTGATGGACCGTGTTTCTTACTTTTGTTGACAAGTTAGTTATTCCTTGATTGAATAGCATAGATATGGCACGGATGTTAGTTTTGCTCTTGCTTAATGCTATATGATCGATGGCTGAGGTTATTGTTTCCTTGGTTCGGGTTCGTATCTTTGTTGGCATGCGGACGCAACTATAAACTAAAAAAAAAACAATTAACAGACTTTTTTAGGGTAAAATATTAACACCGAGATATTAGTAGATTTAACGGACGAGGAATTACTGAAACAAAAATGAAGTTGGTTCTTAGTTCTTTTAACATGAAGTTGGAAGCACTGAAACTTGAGAAGCACTGAACTCTTAACCCCTTAAGTTCTTCCAGGCTTAGATCCATTGTTGTTGAACATTGAAGTCGTCGAATACTTGCTAGTCATCCATATCATATCCCAAGTTGAGACAATATTCCCACATGGTTAAAGCCAAATAGAAGATGGAATGAATATTAAGAAAAGGAGAAGGTATCAAATCAGTGATCCTTTGGCTCTTATTGTTTTGAGGAGCGGTTGTATGATGTAGATTAGATTTGTGCAATGGTTAACAGTCAACAATTTCTCGAATTGAGAACAGAATTCTTAAGTGAAACAGAAGATCAAATAGATAATAACAAAAAGAAAAAAAAAAAGAATAAATCAGCGGAACAAAATTTCCCTTTAAGCGGTACTCTTGGAACAACTACTTTGCATCAAGAAAACAAGAAAGATATCATCTTGAGAGGAAATTTGCATCTGAAGAACACTGGGAAACAATAATGAAGTTGGTTCTTAGTTGCTTGAACCTAAAATTGCTAATTCTTCATTGGAAACACCAAATTTTTGATAGAGGGACTATGTGGTCCCACTAAACTGATTATGAATTGTGAGGAATATCTGCATTTAATGTAACATATCAGGCATTCATGGCTTACCTGATCTATGTGTTGAAGCCAATTTACCTGATCTATGATGCATTCATGGCTTATGCTGAGTTCTTGCTTATGAAACAGGACCTTTGTTTTATAGTTGATTTTTTAGCAGAAGGAATATTGGTGCCACTCTGCACATTAGCTTGGAATATATCATATTTTTTCTAAAAAATAGGAAAATATAGGAACAGTTGGCAAGACAAGTACCCATGATATCATGTAAATATATCATAATATCAACTTTAAAAAAGTATATTTCTAATCATTAACATAAAGCACTTAAATGTAAATTTTTTATGATTCTTTAATGTTGCTCGTGTTGTTGATTATATACTTGGAACATCACTTTACCAGGCTTGAAAAGTTTTTGCCGACACTCTTGCTTTTTCTCACTGCATATTTTGCATTCTTTCTCCAGTGCCCATGCATTTGTTTAAGATTGGCTCATTTACTTTTCTAGTTATCTATGAAAATTCTCTTCATGATTGGAAAAGATGTGATCACCAAGGATGTTTTAGCACTGTTGCTCATATTCCTCTTGATGAATCTGCAGCAAAATGGTTTAAGAATTGAAAATACCAAGGATTGGAAGCAAATAGTGAAAGGAGACGATGGAAAGTCTGTGATTGTTGAAATATCATGATATGAATTTAGATTAGCCATATTCAGTTCTGGACTAATAGAAACATTTTTTGGAAGATCAATTTGTGCACATGGGTTCTATTTAACCTTATTGCTTCCTTTAGAGTTTATGCAGCTACCTTCTTTTAAGTTTCTCATGGGAATCTCTAGGGGAATTTATCCAATTATCTGGTAAATTTCCTAGTTTCTCTTACGATCATGTGCATCCCATTTATATTTATCATTAGTAAGCTTTCACCAAATTTGTGCATCAAAATCATGCATGTGCTATGTAAAAGAATTATGTGAACTCACAAGACCTAGATTCCAGTGATAATCTAATTGATTCTATAGGCTGTGCAGGATGTGGACAGGGGACAACATGAAATGGATTCTCACTGGTGGATCAATGTCGGCACTAAAAGAAAGTTAAAAGAAAGTTTGGGGGGTCGCCTGTAAGAAGCTGTCGGCAGCCGGAATTGAAAT